AAAACGACTGCACATCAATCTCACCTTCTCAGGGGAAAAGAAGTCATCCTTGGGCAAAATTATCTGAACTGGTCTTAAAATCACCTTGTTCTCTTAAGAAGGATTTGGGAGAAAAATGTAGGCCTTTACGGAGCCTCTCCTTAGTTTTGTAACCTGGAACAGCACCCTGAAAGCTGGATCAGCACAATCCTATGTTGCATGATGGGTGATAGCACCCAGATCCTAGCCAAGCGCAGACAGAGTCAAGGGCTACCAATCCTGACATAAGACCCAAACCTCCCACTAAAAGGGGCCAATCAACTGGGATAAGTAGCTGTTTTCCGTTTATGTAGTCCACAGCTAAGGAGAGGGGGGGAAAAAAACCCTGCAAACCTGCAATTCAGTATCAAAACTGTAACTGAGATAAGTTACTGTTAAGTGGATAAATTAAAATGAAACCAAAATGTGGCCTAATAAGGAACAGTGAGTTCCACCTGGTCAGCTGACACCATTCTTTCCCAAGTCCTCAAACCAGGTGGCATCTTTTAACAAAGTCCAGGATCTGGAGCAAGGAGGGATCCCCCTGCCAGCCGGTGGGGACTGCTGGGAAACACATATGCTAGCATGTCATTTGGAAGTCAGTTAATATGTTGTAAGCAGCGCAAGACGCTTGCCTGCCTTCCCAGGCCAATAAACAATGCCATTCCAACTCCTGCAGCAGTCAGTAGGAAACAGTGCCTTTTCTCCACCATCCAACAATTCAACAAACATTTGTTCCTGTTGAACAACCGTCAGCCGGCTCCATCTGCACCGGCTCATGCAAGGCGAGCCCGGCGGCGGCGGCACAAATGCCCATCCCAGGATCCCCGACCCGGAATGCAACCGAGCAAGGGGGCCACTTCCCCAACACCACCGAGTCCGGAAAATGTACCGTATGGAAGACTCAGAGTGTGGCCTATAGGAGGCAGAATCCCATTCATCAAATGCTGCAAAGAGCTTTTCTTTGTTCACCATGGTACTAAGTACAGTACGTGTTAATGAACACCGGCAGTCAGACGGAGGGAGCTCGGCTTCAGGGGGCGTCCGAAAGCGAGGGACTCCAGCAAGCCTGTCCGCGCGATTTATCGATGCTCCGGTTCCCTGTCCCGCACAAGCATTGTTCCCCAAGTCCGCGGACGGGGGTGGAGGGCTGGGGGTGGAGAGTGGGGGTGCCCGAGAAGACACTTGGGGCAACGCAAATCGCAGAGCCTCCCTGGATTCTGGGTGTTCTCGCTTCCTTCGTTCCCACCCCACCAAGAGAAACCCTGAGCCGGGAACCCGACTCTCACGGGCTTGCAAATCCAGGACTGGCAAAAATGTGACTCGACCAGTGTGCCTGTGACGGACGGCCCTTCTCGCCATGTGCAAAAGCCACGCCGGCGCGGGCGCCCCCCACTCCCCAAGCCCCGGCCGGGGCCACCCCGCGGGCTTCCCCCGCCCAGGACGGAACTCCCCCTCACCCCCATCGCGACCGCCCCGGCCAGCCCAGCAGCCGCGGAGCCCGCCGGCTCGCGTCCGCATCCCGGGGGTGGCGGGTGCAAACTTCCGTGAACAAAAGAGTTGTCTGCAAATGATGCGAGAACTTCGGGGCGAGCGGGGCCGCCTGGCTCCCGGGGCTCGGGGGTTGGGGCTCGGCGCCTACCCCACTGCGGCGAGCCTGGGATCCAGACCAGAACGCGGAGAGGACACCCCCGGGCGCAGCCGAACCCGCGCCCGCCCGGCCGGCCGGGGAGCGCAGACTTTTCCGCAGCGGCCAGGCTGGCTCGTCCCCCTGCCTGCGCTCTGACAAGTCTCACGCCTGTACCACAGGCGGGACTCAGCGCCCGAAGAAGCCACCCGACCCAATGCAAACGCGAAACAAGGCAGAAAAAAAAAGGGAACAAGCAACATTAGCAAAAAAGGGGAAAGAAAAAAAAAGGCAAGCCCAGTGCGCACGCGAGCCGAGCTCCCTCCAGCCGGTGGCCGAGACGCACACGGCAGAGACCTCGCTCGGGGCCGGCCCCCCCGGTCGTCGCCGCCGCCCGGCCCGGGGTCGCTTACTGTGCGTGGCGGGGCGCTCCGGGCGAGGGCCCCGCGCGGTCACCGCCGGCTCTTGCCAAGTCGTCCCGGCTGCCCGCCGCGCGCACGCTCTCCTGCCGGCGCCGAGCGCTTTGTACCGAGCGGCTCCCGGGGAGGAGGAAATCGACTTGTCACTTCCTGAAGTGTTTGCAACTCGTCCCTTTAACCGGCCCCGGCCAGGCCGCCCGCGCCCGCCGCCGCCGCGGAGCCGCCCGACCGCGGCTGCGTGAGCTCGGCCCGGCGCTCAGCGGGCGGCGTCGCGGGCCCGGGC